TGGTTCTTTGAGTTGTGACAACAAGTATTACCCGCCCAATTATGTCTTTGATTGTTAAAATCTTCATGGTTTGAAAGTTGATGTTGCAATGTAAGAATATTAGTGATGAGGATTAATAACTACAAAACAAAATGTGTTTGACTAATTTTTTACCCAATTATTTTGGATGGGATTCGGATAAAAATATTACATTTGATTGGATAGAGTAGATCAAAAAAAAATTATTTCGTAAATATCGGGTAGAAAGATAAAAAATTATAATTCATATCCCTATAATAAAGTGAACACCTATGATGATTTTTTTTTCTTTTTATGTTTTCACTGTTGTCTTTCTGGTCTCACAGACCTAATTTACTTTGATTAACTGCCGCCTTTTCGAATCGCAGAGTACATAATTGCTTTCTTCCGTCCAAAGCGAAGGCTGTAACAGTCCCAAAATTTGAAAAGACATGTCGACCGGCTTTGGCTTTTCCTTCACTGATTCAATGAATGTCACTTGGCGAACCCTTCTACCTAATTCATTTTATGGATAAAAGTCATTCATTATTTATTCACCAAAATTATAGAATATGATCCGAAAATAAATGTTTTTATCCGTGAGGGATCAATTCTCTTTGACAGGACTTTTGGGAGTGCATTTAGAAAAATAAAAGTCATACAAGAATATTTCAAAAAAGACAAGATTTTGTGGGCTCAAACTTTTGCATTTTGAGAATTACTTTATAGATTTTATTAAGAGAATCGTGAAAATTTAGGGGAGTGGTATTGCCTCATCCGCTAGCCAGATCCATTTATGTTGCAAAATTGGTGAAGTAGTGCCTAAGTCAAAGCTAGAAAAAGTTTAGATACCACGGTTAGGGTTGGGCCGCGAACCCTACCATGTTCTTCCAAATCTGTGCGTTTATGTGTGTGTGTGAGAGAGAGGGGGGGGTCAAAGTCGGGGAAAGTCACGTATGAAAGAAATCCTTTTCAACACCAAATGATCATGAAAAACAACCATACATTTGACTGTAGGCTTGGCCACAAAAAGCATTTCCTTTGTTACAAACAAGTTGCTTATTTAGCCAGGGGCGAATCCACAGTGGGTGGGGGCAAATTGAGCATTACTGAAACAGACATTTTATCTCCTAACATTTTTGGTTCCCTTCTTTTAAAACATCACCTTTTAAATTAAGTGGGATAAATTAAGCGAATCATCAATCTGTTATGCCGGGCGTATCTTTGATCCGTTGAACAAGAGCCCTTCCACATGGGACTTCCAAATTACTATGGCCGACTTTCATCTTTGTTCAATTAATCGATCTCATGGCTCCGGATTTTAGTTCAGAAATAAGACCCTCAAGAAAAGGGTTCTTCAATCTTCAATAATTACGTCTCTCAAAACCCACCATAGGTAGCAGAAATTGTGAACTACGTATTCTCTCTTTCTTTTTTTTTCCCTCTTTTTTTAATATGGCTGAGATTTATAACCATAAGCAATTATTTGTGGAAACTAGTACAGACACTTGGAATCCAGGACCTTGAAATTAATATCCGCAGTAATGGGAATCCATTATCAAGCACACTTGCGGAAAATAATGAGTCATATAAAGTGGATAAAAATAAAACCGAATTACAAAAACATATCATAAGTTTAACCAAAAAAATAGGGTAATTGACCAAAAGGACATTAGTATTATTCATACAACAATATGGGGACATTACACTTTGATCCCAGTGACTCTGCCTTTTGTCTAATGCTTCGTTTTGGTATGATAAAAAGTTGGAGGAATAGATAAAACATCACATTTGGTAAAGAAAAATAGGAAGGATGGAAAAATGGATCAATTAATTTTCCTTCCAACTTATCAAAATCGATCCCTCTAAAATTAGAAAGAAAAGTGGATGAAAAATTAATTATGTGTGTTAAAATATATATTATTTGTCTATATATTATATTTATCAATTACATATTATGTATAAATTAATTTCATATATAAATATAATCCTTAAAATGTATTTATATTTTTTAATAACAATTAAATAAAAATTTAAATACTTAAAAAATTAAATAATAAATTTAAAAATCCAATTCAGCGCGAGAATTTTTTGGCTCCAAACCTAACAGCATTCAATTTTGGCCCATTATGAAACCAATTTAAGTAATTAAGGATTAATGTTAGTAATTCAATAGTAGGGGTGAGTAAGATGTGATCGAGCCTACAGTCTAAAAGCTACAAAATATAATTTGCTTTAATAAAAAGAATCCTTTTAACTCTCACCCATTTAAAAAGAGTATGAGAACCTCTCCCACTTGTACAATTTTTTATTTTTTTTTTTTTGTTCATGAAGCCTCTTACAACATATCAACAAGAAAGTAGAACATGAAGAATGCAACTTGACCAGTTTACTATAAAACCATGATTAAGCATGTAAAGTGATCACTCTGTGTTCTGGTTGCTTGTAAAAGAGAGGTTCCCACAAAGGAAAGAATTTTAATCTTTGCTTTACCAAGATCATGAAGCATTAGAAATGCATATAATATTTGGTAAAGCTGAGTCGAATAAAAGTGCTTCTAATAAAATATTGGAAAAGAAGCATCTTCAAATGAGAGGAATGCATATTAATTACAGTAAAGTAACCCAAAAAAGCAGCATAATTTTTCCACTCTGAACATGTTTACATGCACAAGATCAGTAGCATTTCAGAAGCCTGTTATGGTTTATTCAAGATCTTTTAAGCTTAATTCAAGTTTTAAAGTAATTTCAATGCTTTTTTTTTTTATAAAAAAGCGAAAACTAAAGGCTATAACTTCTCTGGAATAAGTGGTAACAATATCTCAGCTAGTGTTTTTGTCTTTTTCCCTGTTTTCAGGCTTACTGATGTTAGAAATCGATCTAGACTACATGCCAATAAGTAAGCTTCATTAAAGTTGGTACCTTCGATCATGGAATAAGAAAACCCTTGGGTAAAATGCTGGACTAAATATCACATAAACATTATAAATAAAACACTTTCTTGTTGTAAAATATAGAGAGAAATCTTAGAGAAGAAAATATGAAGAGACTTAAATTGTATTTTTCTATTCACTTTGGCTCATTTCTCTCTTGTCAAAATCAAATACTTACATAGGTATTTATAGGATTCTAGAGTACATGCATATCACCAATACATGCATATTACCAATACATGTACTATCCAAATACATGAATCTAGAATACTCCAAAACATTGAATAAAGTTTCATTCTCAACATTCCTATCATGCAAGTAGATATATTCTGCATGTCATAAGTATAATTAAGCCACAGTATGATCCTTCAATGGTCTTAAAAGGTGCACCTAAAATTTGATTCTTCCTTTATGTCTGACTACATAATAGACCAACTTCTGAATAGTAAATACATGACTGTGTACAGGATGCACTGCCTTTCAAATTTTGAAAAAAATCTACGAAAAAGTCTAAAAAGTTCGAGAATATTCATATCTCATAACAGCATAATTCTTAGAAATTTTCGAATATCCGTGCCATTCCGAACGGTCCCTAGTAGAGTCTCTTTCTGTTTCCACCGAGCTGCAATTGTAAAGCTTACGAAAAGAGAAAGATGAATGAAAGCAACCAATTACCAAACAATAGCTTTAGTTAGGCCATATAGACACCACTTACTACCTTTTGATACTGCCATGGAAAAAATGGGAAGAAAAAAAGTACTTTTGCTGGTCCCTCACGGTCCAAGCATTTTCAATTCTTTTAACAAAGAATTTTCTTCGTTCTTTTTGTTATACAAAAAATGTGTATATAATTAGATTATATTACATTGTGTAGAATATAACTTATACACTAATTTAAACAGAATGTATAAAAATCAAAACTAGTGCACTTACATTGACGCAAAACAACACGAATAGTAAAATCCAAAAAATCAAAAATCCAATAATAAAAATAATAATTTGAGTTTTGTGTAATCATGGTTTCCTTAAGACAGATTTGCTCCATCTCAATGCTTAAGGTTGGTAAGCAACTGTCTCCTAAAATAGAATGAATTTCGTTCTTAAAGATGTAACACTTCAATCTCTAAGACTTTAACGAACACAAATTTTATGTTTATATTTGAACCGCACTTGAAATAATAATGCAACAATATTGTGAGAGAGAGAGAGAGAGAGAGAAGAAAGACTAAATACTTATTTTAATATTTTGAATAATTGAAAGAATTATAATGAGAGAGCAATTCTTGAATTGTTCACTGGCATGTGTTTGAGAGCGTAAGGAATCACTTATTTTTAGACTTACTAATGACTTTTCATAAAAAGTGTAACCTTATGTAATGATACCTTTTAGTTCAAAAGGTATCAATGATAATTTTATGAAAAGGTACAACTATTTGAAATGGTATTTTTCAGTCCAAAAAGTGTTAATTGTGACTTTATAAAAAAATGTAACTATTTAGATTTATGTCTTCAATTAAAAGTCATCAATTTTTGTCATATTCACTTCGGACCTTGTCAATTGCTCTCAAAAGTCATAAAATTTTTCGCAACATTTTCAATTACTTTCAAAAGTCATAAAAACTTTAACAATTTCTCATTCAATACTTAATAATTTTTTTCAAAAATAAATATATCATTATTTACAACACTTTTTTGTTTGTAATAGGGATGGAAGTACGAGGAATGAATTTTTTTTTTTTTTTTTTTTTACTTTTATATAGAGAGAAAAGTAGAATGAAGAAAAAAATACCCATATATATTTTACCATTATATTCGCATATAAAATTAACTTATCCATAATATCTAATAGACTAATACAATATATGTGTATACCAAGGGACTAAACTAATGCTTACACTTTTCATTGTTCAAAAAAATATATTGTTTCGTTCGCTCTTCCTATTTGTCGCCCTCCCACTTTTTCATCAGGGGACCGAGCATCACTACTCTAAGCTTATATATACACCTCGGTGGACATTATACCGGACAGAAAATCAAAGGGGTTAAGTTCTCTTCGTAGCAACTAACCAAAATGGATGCAAAGAAGCCATATTTGGCTGTAATTCTGATACAGTCCATATACGGAGGCATGTTCTTGCTCTCCAAGGCTGCATTTGATGTTGGTATGAACCCTTTCGTCTTCGTCTTCTACAGACAGGCTGCTGCAACTCTTTTCTTAGCTCCCCTCGCCGTGTTCTTTGAATGGTATTAACTTGCTGATTTAGTTTACATCTTTCTCATCTTCTTCACGACCATGATTGAATATAAATAATTGATTGTTTATTTTGGGGTTTTCAGGAAAACAGCACCGCCGCTCTCATTCAGTTGCTTCTGGAAGATTTTTATGCTTTCTGTTTGTGGGTATGTTCTGCTATAATAAATCCAAGACACTCGATATTTCGTGTGGTTTATAAAATTTGTTGACAAAGAACTTAACTTTGTTCTTTAATTATTTAATTTCAGGATTACTTTGTCATTGAATATTTATGGAGTTGCTCTCATATATACATCTGCAACACTGGCTGCTGCAACTACAAACTGCCTTCCTGTCATTACTTTCTTCCTTGCTGTTTTATTCGGGTAAAAATTTCACTTACTTTTCTTCTTTCACCTTCTTGTTTCGTAAACTTTTGTCCTTCAAAATGATAAATTGGTTTGATTACTTTAACCCTGACATGCTTTTCGGTATAGAATCGAAATTATAAAAAATAAAGCTGAAGTTACAACTCAATCTCGTGTAGGATGCTACAAAATGGAGTTTTCGGGATTGATCAAAACATTTCAAAATGGATTTCAACTTTTTTTTTTTTTTTTTGTGATAGCTTGACCTCATTGCATTAAAACTTGATCCAATTAATTGTAACTGATGATCCGTATGTCATTAAATAAAAAACAAATGTGGTACTATAGTCATACCCTATGCTAGGATTCTGATGTCCTTGTGATACGTTGTGCATAGAACAGGGGCAGATTGTCTCCTAATGGCATTTTGTTTTCTATGTTTTCGTTCCTCCAAACATATGTGGCCATAAAAAAGATTTTCAGCGCATACTCCCATGCAAGATTTGCATTTCAATGGAAATTTAATTAAACTTTGAAGAAAGCCCTTAATGCATAAGAAAAACATTATCGAATTTTTAAGAGAGAAATTATTTGTGGTTGTGTCTAGACCACATGTCACAAGTACGTATCTTAAAATCAATCTCTCTTAAATATAGGTAAGGCTAGTTAACACATACATCTCCCCTCCTTCAATATAGGTTAGAGTTTTATGTATGAGTATAGCTCTCTAAAACAACATGTTACTGAGTGGTGTCGTCCTTCGGAAATGCATTATACCCCTTAGTGTGTTGTTATGTACGTATATAAAGCTTGCTTTATCACCAAGCTACTATGTCAACAAAAGTGCTTGAGATTCTTCTATCTTGGAGGACAATGGGTCAGTTCTTGGCAAACAATGCAAGGGTGGATGTATCATGTCCGTTTTTTGATCGGGTTTACTCTAACCTTTCTTTCGGGTTTCTTCATTCAATTCTGAATGTTTTCTCTTTTAATATGAGGCAATATTTGTCATCGTAATATTTGATTATTCAATGTAATTGCTATTTGGTTAATATTTTTCAAAACATGTTCTCTCTCTCTTTTAATAGGTGAAGGAGTTTAAAACAACCACCTCCACATAGTTAGGAGTAATGTTATACTGATTAAAATTAAGGACCAACTAAAGAGTTCAAATGATATGACAGTTGTTGATATGACAAAATTAACTGTCATATCAGCAAAATCTTTTCTTATTCTTCAAATCAATGACAGATGGGGCAAAATCTTTTCGTCTTCTCCGCTTCCCTAACACGCACAAACAAAAAAAAACAGAGAAAAGAAATGACATGAGAGTTAATCTTGTCATATCAACAACTATCATATCATTTGATTCTTTATTTAGTCCCTAATTTTAGTCAGCATAGCGTTATTGCATGGTGAGACAATATGCATATTTAATGTCTAGTCCTTGCTGGGACAAATGCTCCCCAAGAAATAAAAATCAATACCCACAGCTAGAAAGGGAATAATCTATGGATTTGGTTCCTCTCAACTTTAAGAGTCCTCCAATGGAAAGGGAATCCAATTTTAGTCACCCACCACTAAAACATTGGGTTCCACTGAGGCCCACCGTTTGCCCTACGTGATTGAAAACGAAAAAAAATGGGAGAAATTTTGAAATTTGAGAGGATCTAGATCCATAATAAAAAAAGCATACTCAATGCTCCTGTTTATTGTAAAGTCTGATGAAGGTAATATTACAGGATAGCCTCACCCTTGTATCAAAAAAACTGATTCCCAGCCTCGAACCCATTACTTATTACTTGGACAATTGAAAAGATAAACATAAATAAGTACAGAATCACAAAAAACATAAATCCTAAGCCAACCTTCTTTTGTACTCAAGTAATATATAGCTATATGAAGAAGTTGTGATTATTTAGGAAAGAGTTCCAAGTAGGAAACTAAGGTTTATCGGAAATACATGTGACCTGATCAGAAATTTGAAATTTTATAAGAAAAAATTTTGAAAGCTACGAAATTATAAATTCATGATAGAGTGCTCATCATTTTCTAGTTTTCATCTTAGAGTGCTCATCAAAATCATCATTTGGTTTGTGAAAGTGAGATTCATACACATAATTTCACTTTTCATATGACGAACCGGACATTGTTACTTTTTGTTTTGCGTTGGTTTGATGTTTGTCTGCTGATTTAAAATGTTGTACCAATATGACGTGGCATAAACGAGCTCTTGAGATTTCTACTCCTATTCAGGTTGGAAATGGTGAAATTGAGGACAATTCCTGGGCTTGTTAAGCTTACAGGCATAGTAATCTGCCTGTTTGGAGCAGCCACCATTGCCTTGTATAGAGGCCCCTACTTGAAACTCTTGTTGCATCATCACCTCCTTGGACACTACAGCCAACAGCCTGTCTATGTTCCTTCTAGCAAGGCATGGGCAAAGGGTGTCTTCCTGATGCTCCTTTCCAATACCTTTTGGGGTTTGTGGCTTGTATTACAGGTACCGTCTTCATCTGAGCGTATATTTCTTATGCATGTTAATGGGTCAGATTTGTATTTAAATCCAAATTTGGGTATTCGAATATCGATAAAGATTTTGGATTGATTATCCAAATTCGAACTTGAACCCGATTTTTCATTCTTTGCGTATTCAAATTTGAATACATATATATTCGATCCAATTATGATATGATCACACACATACACACACACATCTATATATATATATATATATATATATATATATATATATATATATATATATGTGTGTGTGTGTGTGTGTGTGTGCGTCTCTGTGTGTGTGTGTGTGAATATATGATTAAACTAAGGGGTTATATGATGAAATTGTGTTAAAATATATGTAACTTCTTAAAATTGAAGTCATTGACTTGTTGAATGCACCATGTTATGTTAGGTATTTGTGAATTTGTACTTTCTGATACCTCAAGAAAAGAAAATATGGTAACCAAAAAAATCAAGATGTGGACTACCTACTAACCTTATCAAACTTTAGGTTTGCCATAGTTAGTAATTCAACTGATTTCGACATTGATTCAGGGTCGAGTTCTAAAAAGCTACCCTTCGAAGCTTCTCTCCACAACTCTGCAGTGCTTTTTAAGTACCATTCAGTCATTTGTTATCGCCATTTCTTTAGAAAGAGACCCCTATCAATGGAAGCTTGGATGGAATGTCAGACTCTTCTCCGTAGCCTACTGTGTAAGCTAAAAACAAGGCTTCTGCAATTTCTTCTCTTCCCTCATCTACACAGCATTCTTTGTTTAATGCACTGTATTAAACTGTTAGGCTCTTTAACCATTTATGTGGCAAGTAATGCGATGCTTACCAATGAATCATGTTAATTTTTTTAATGAGACTCACTAATCCAATCATACACAATCATTTGGTAAACTTTTTAGTAAAAGTTTTTTTTGTTAGGCATAGCATTTTCCTTTTATAGTTCACCATATGAATTCCACACCCCTTACTCATATCTAGTTATTGACTAGGTACTAAACTGTCATTATTAACACATCATATGTAGATTGGTGGATTTCTCATAGTTGGTGTCGCTGCAATTAAGTTGTTCATAATCACTTTTAATTAACATGCATATTTATGGTGTGAAAATAATGCGATATATAAAAATGCTATGGCCTGGGTTGGGGGGGGGGAGGGGAGAGAATTTTGACTAAAATACTCGTTTAATCTGTTTATCACTTTCAATCGATATGCATATATATGATATGGAAATGAATGAGCTACTGAATTATTGCTTAATCGATATATAAAAATGATATTGTTGGGCGAAGAAAATTAACTAGTATACCCAGTAAATAATTACTTTCAATTGATACGCACATGAATGAGTCACTAAATCGTAGATTAATTCAATATATAAACATGATTTGGCAAGGGGTGAACATTAACTGCAATACCCACTAAAGTTGTTCATAATCACTATTAATCGACATGCATACGCATGATATGAAAATGAATGTGCTATCGAATCGTGATTAATGCTATATGTAACAATATTATGGCCTGGTGGGAAATTTTAACTAATAAGCTGTTCATAATTATTACCAATCGATAGGCATACGTATGATATGAAAATGATTGATATTCTGAACTATCTAGTGTGTTCTACTTTGTGTCAATGGAGGACTAAGCCTTAAGTGATTCTCGACAGGGAGTGGTGGTAACTGGTGTTACATTCTACTTACAAGCATGGGTGGTTGAGAAGAAGGGGCCGGTGTTCCTCGCCATGTCAACACCCTTGACCTTGATCTTCACAATCGTCTCATCTGCATTACTCTTAGGAGAAATAATCAGTTTAGGAAGGTAATTCACAATGATTTACTACAAAAAAAAAAAACGAATCACCGTTTTTTCTCATCATTTTTTTTCATATGATTGTCTCTTGCTTGTGCTTGTAGTGTTTTTGGAGGAATTTTGTTAGTGGGAGGGCTTTACTGTGTATTGTGGGGAAAGAGTAAAGAACAGCAAATGGATGAAGGGATTTGTTCAAGAATTGATGCTGAGAAAGAATGTCCAATCTCCAACAAATTAGTATCAACCCAACGTTCATCACCATTCCATGTGTGATGTAATTCTTGTGTTTAAGTGATATCCTCATGACCCTAAATAGTAATAATCATTCCAAACAGATGGGTATTGTATACTTTTATCAAAGAAAAGACCATTGCTAATAGCGCTGTTAAACAATATGAGCAATGTGAGCTTGGTTCGGGCTTAGCTTGATTTTGACTGGCTTAGATATTGCAAATAAATGAGATCTGACTAAATTTTTAAGCTCATTCTGGAAGCAAGCTGAATTTGAGTAACATGTAGTTCAGTTCATATATGCTTGGCTTGGCTCTTATAGATTCATATCTAAAAATAATTCTTTATATGGCCCTTGATAGAGCACAATGAAGAAGATAGATTCATGTAGTTAATTCTAAATAATTGAGATAAAGGCTTTATTGAATAGAGTTGTCTTGGACCAACATCCTCTCAACACAGTCAACCAACCCATATTCGAGAAATGATCAATCTGAAAACTATTTCCAAATAACTTCACATCATATAGATTTATCTGAAATTTATTTTCAAATAACTTCACGTCATATACATTTATCTACTTTTCTCCCCGCTATAGATTTTGAAAATTTTAATGAATTTGATTGTTTTACGACCCACCAAGTTCTATGTTTGGTTTTTAGAAACTTTTACATGAAAAATTAAGCTCGTTTTTTAACTATAGTTCAACTAGATTTTTTGTAAATTCTTACCAAACAGAGCTTGAACAAGAGTCTAAGCTCAAGAATTGATCTCGACTCAAGACGGAGCCTGACTAGCCTTAACTGAGTTGGCCCAATTAACATCCCTAATAACTAGCAAATGAGAAAATTACATTACAAGTAATGGCCTAAAGAATATCTCATTTTTTAAGGCGAATAAATGTTCTTATGTATCAACAGCTATATAATAAATAAATTTTATAAAATTGTTGCAAAGGTTTTGGCTAATAGGATGAAGAGTATTTTCCCTCGTATTATCTCATAATATCAAAGTGTTTTCGTTCCTAGTCGTTTGATCACTGATAATGTACTTATTGTTTCCGAGTTGAGTCATTACCTTGAGAATAAAAGAACTGGGAAGGGGTTTTTATCAAAAAAAATATATATATATAATAAATAAATAAATAAACCTAGTTCTTATTACACAAAGCAAAACAATGGCTCTGATCTTTTAGATCCGACAGTTTACATTACTATTTATATTTTAATTTTTTAACTACAATAATCTTAACCCAGTTTCTATTTTTGACGTGTTCAAACTTCTACCCAGAGAAAAGAGGAGGAATAATATGTTAACTAATTCTTTCAGCTTATTTTCTTGTATGAGCAGGTTTAAACTTATATGTAGCAGCTAAGCACAAAAAAGTTATTGGCTATATCCTCAATAGGTGCAAATCGGGAATGGAAGTCAATCCATTTTTTCGTCTGTATCATATCCCTAGAATAGATGAAAAAAAAAATCCAAGTTGCTTCATTTTGCTCCTCAACAGGAGGTATACTTGGTAAAAAAAAAAAAATTCAAAAATTTGGGAATGGACAATGATCGATTTGGAGACCGGGTTGGTATGTTGAATCAATTATTTTGTTTAAATGAGTTAAAAATGTTGTATAGTGAAAATTGGGATTCAAGCTCAAAGAATTGTTGGGGCTATCAACTCATTGGTTCCCCCAGTAGGTACTGACCATGGCCCAACCGATTCGTTATAGTCCACACAGTTCCTATTGTTGAGGCCTATCAACTCATTGGTTCCCCAATGGTCTCGTAAGTGTTGGATAAGTAGAGATCCTGGATATGGCACTTCTAAAACTTCACTGAAAATTAATAATGCTTCAATTCGTGAAGAAACACTCCTCGAAAAGAAGTATTTGCCCCCATCAAATCGACTAAGGTGTAAAAATGGAAAATCCGTAAATCGGTCTTCAAGATACCGTGAAACTTGAACAATCTTGAATACCCTCTGAAAAATGAAATAGCCAAGTAGTAGAATTTTAATTCTGCAGCAATTTAGAAATTCATATGCAAAATAAAATGAACATAATGTTGTGTTCGAAAAGAAGGGAAATATGAAATTAATTGTTTTTGGTGTCTGGGCAGACTCTGTATTTATAAAGTCATTGGTGTCTGTTGGGCAATGGGTGAATTAAAATTTCAAGTAATTTGAATTATTTAGATTTAAATATCAACCGTTAATCTAACAATAATATCCATTTGTAATGGAAGCACTCGGTCGTTGCACTTGCAAGCATTGGGCTAAGTGCAAAGTGTGTCATCAAAGCACCACATCGCCCCTAGCCTCGCTTCATGCCAAGGGCACACGGTGGGTTGACCCATGATGCATAGTAGAGTTTTTATGCTAAAGTAAATATACTTACTCCACTATTCTATGTATGTCCATCAAACTTTTCTCATTCTTTTGATGTGGGATAGGTGCCAAAAATATCCTTTCACCTTCTCAAAATAAATGAATTTTTTCACAAAACACCCACCCACAATAAAAAGACTTTATTTCCAAAATCCTTTAACAGCATATCAATCACATTTAATTTCTGATGGGCATGATTGAAGGAGTTTTATCTGATTAATTACGGGATCTTCAATATTTTTAACAAGGACGGCTTACTATGGTCACACAGAAATCGAATTAGCCGTGTAATCTGTGAAATCAGAAAAAATGGTTGAGATTTTGTTTTACTCTCTCTATGGTGGGCTGCAACCAAACTAGTATTCTTTTTTATGTTTTTTGTTTAGTGATGTCAAGTTAGCTTATGTAAATTTTGACTAATCTCCTCTTTATTTTAATTAAAAATAGATCATTTATGCTAGGATTGAGACATTTATGATAAATAAATCTCTCATTGTATGATCCTAATGGAGTTATCAAGTCTCGAATTTATGTTATCTGTATTTACAGCTCATTATTGTTTCTACCGGGCTACCCTCGATGTTAAGCTAGTATGTTTTTGGAACACTCATCACAGCACCCCCAACCAAAATGACCTAATTAGCCCTTCTTATGGAAAAGAACCCTTGTGAGTAGTGTCGTTCAAGAATAATGTTATTTGAAACTAATTTACTTATGATCTAATATTGCCATAAGATTAATAATAATTCACATCCAATGTTAGGGTTCACTATCAATCAAATAGCAACAAGAGATTAAGCGAGAAATTAGAAAAAAAAAAAATTAGTTTCAAGTAGTATTACGCAATACTAGAATAGTTTTGAAAGTAAGTTTGTATTAAACATAGATTTTTTTTTCCTTTTTGGAAAAGCAAGAGAACATATTTTCAGTAATAGGTTTCTTAAATAACACTACTCAGCATTCGTGACCACTCTAAAACTAGAGTTCTCAATTTTTATAATACAATGGTGAACCCAAATATGATCAATTATATTTAATAAATTATTTACAAATATACAATAGATGATCCAATAATAAAAAGAAATTGGAAGTATCCAATAAGAAAATCCTAAGCACAATGGTCAAAATAATAACAAGTATAAAACTACTAGAAATTATGATAGGACCATCAGATTAAAGGGTGTAAAAAATTGGATTTAGAATAATCGAAAGTTCATATTTACCCAAATAAAAATCACAGGTTAAAGTTCAAGAATCAATTTCCTCAAAAAATGAGATAAAACTTCATTGACTTATCTATATTGGTTCTTATAATAAATAGAAAGGTTTATGCATTAGTAGCAGGTAGAAAAGAAGCGTGACCGTGATATTAAACATTAAAAATCATAAAATTATGATATATATTAGCTAAAGTACATGGCCACCACGTTGTGCAATTACATTTGCAGACACCAATACCTACCCATCAACATATTGTAAGCCCCGGGACCCAAAGTATCATGTCAGCATTAATTGGTCGCTCCGAAACCAACAGTTTTACTCAGATTCCGGATTCTCCCCTTTAAAAATCCATGTGATTCGGCTCCCCATCATTAGGGCCGGATTTGGCCTGTGGCCCGGACTGTTAATGAATCATGGGCCAGCCCAGTTTGTTTTGTGGGTAAATCATCGGTGTTGTGCTGAAAAAAAAAACAAGGAAAAATTGTGAACATGTATCTTTTAAACTATTTAATTGTGAGAAAATACTTTAACTAATATCTTTGTAGATAAATACTTTTGACTTGAAATGTATTGTAATTAGGTACTCATTGAGAGATTTTGATTTATTATAGTAATGATTTCATATTTTAAAGGATTGAATATATTTAAAATTCAAAATTATATTACATGAAATATACCTTAACAATTTTGCCCAGATTTTGAAATTTTTTTTTATATTATTTTTAAAGGTTAAATGGCTCTAGTTGTTCTAAAATCTAACAATAATGTTACTTTATAGTATTACACTGTCATTCATTAAAAGAGATATATATGGATTTCACATTATGTGATGCCGTTTGTTAGTAATTAAAGTATTAATAAATGTGTTACTCTATCATGTATCATTATAATATCATATTATCGGCAATTTGAATTGGAACAAAAGAAAGATCGGTCTTCAATGGTGCTTCAACGTTTGTGTTTTTTTTTTTTTGGTTGAAAATTGAAGGATTTTGTAGTAATTTTTTTTAAAAAAAATTTGCAAACCTATAGTTTGAGGGATATAACAGTTGCTGAATTTAATGGGATTGTTGCATGATTTATGACAGTTTCCTTATCCACTACTTGCGCCATATAATTGTTACCTTGTGATCATTTTTGTCATCCAAAAAAAAAAAAATACTTATGCACAAAACATTTTGTACTAAATACTTTTTCATAATTAAGTGGTAAATTAAGTATCAACTCACAAAAAAAAAAAAAAATTGTCGTGTCAAACAAATGACTCAAAAATTTTAATTAAACCTTGCTTACGTTTTGATAACAAACATTTTTTTTGTGGGAGAAGGCTTTTCTAACAATAAAGTCGAACTTAGAGATTATTTTTTTGTACCATAATCGGATATGTTGCAATGGTAAATTTTTTCTGTTATTATAGAAGTGTTTTGTCTCAAAATAACATCATTTTGCTAATAAATCATATCGTATTGTATGTAAAACAACTTCATTTGAGAAACACACCCATTTAGTTTTAAAATTCAAAAAACGCCAAGAGTGGCAGAATATTGTTATTTTCTGTGAAAAGAAATGTAAGAAATAACACTACCACATAAAAATCCCATTAGAGAAGTCATTATATTCCAAAAAAACCACTGAAAAATTGAGCATTCTAAGAAATTATTTGTTGATATGCTTATTTGAAAATGTGAAAACAGTCTCGATATTCTGTCGTGAATGATGGTTTCAAAACTTGGTGATCATCTTTAACTCAAAATCAAGACATTCGTTTAATGTTCATCATTTAAATCCTAGGTGTTGAAATGCATTGGTGATGTTAATATTGTTTTTTAAATTCTGATATTTTCCAAAGTGAAAAGGAACAACAATTATATGCGGGAAGTTTTTCGCACAACAAATAAATAAAAACAGATCTCTCTCTTGATGAACTCGTATTTATTTCGAAAATCGATGATTCCGTAGCAAAGGAAGGCCAAAGATAGCCTAAGGAGTGGTGATAAATTACTTTTAAGGCTGTCCAATTGATTCCGGTGAGTCAAGGGTAGTTCTTGACACTCGAAAGAAAGGTTAGAAAGGCGTCGGAATGTTTTCCGATATATCCCCTCTGACAATCAAATCAGTCTCTGTGAGAGAGTGGAAGAAAAAACACTGTGTATATGTTGAGAATTGGATCCGCGTACCTTGCTTTGAGTCTCAGAGGGGTCTTTATACCTACCATGGTCATCATTACTAACTGGTAGGTAGTAGGCAGTACCCAGTTATTGGGCAGTGCCCCATCCCTTCTGCAGGGACGAGACCTATGCATTAAATATACGGCCTCCAGAGCATTTAAAGTTCTTTCTCTAAGGCTCTTGAACACTTAATGCTTTCTCCAAGGCTCTTGAGTGTTAACTACGTCTCATCCTTATGAGGGATTATTAAATGCTTCTTTATGACGAATGCGTATAAGTAGGGGTCTCTTTGTCTTTTGGCCCCTATTCCTGTACTTCCTGCCACATGTTTAGCTTCCTTTGGTTACTGGTCTTGTCCCCCTATCGTTCTGTTTTCGTTGAAGGGCAAGCTAATGATTCGTAGTCTAACTCTTAGATTGATGGGTTGTAGTCGCCAAAAATCCATCTAGAAGCCGAGGTGAAGTGTCCAAAAGTATCATTGGGATTCAATCACGCTGAGGACATGTATCAACATCATAGGACTTGAGGTGTCCTTGGTGTCGAGGACACGTGGCTTCGTCAGAGAGCTTGAGGTGTCCTCGGTGCTGAGGATACATGGCTTCATCAAGGAGCTTGAGGTGTCCACGGTGTCGAGGACACGTGGCTTCATCTAAGAGCTTGGGTGTCCATGGTGATGAGGACGCGTGGCATCATCAAGGAGCTTGAGGTGCCCTCGGTGTTGAGGACACGTGTCAGATCCCCTATCTTTCCCCAGAAGTGTCCCATCAACTGCCCCTCAGCCCTTGATCTTCGTACGACATGGGAGATGTGTCGTCGAAAGGTGAAAGGGCTCTCAACCACCCCTTCATGGTGCAGTCGCAATCCCGCTTCAAAGGTCATGCCCATTAAATACGCTTGTCATCATGTCTTGTGTGCAATGAAGAGGACAGGCCCTATATAAACAAGGCGTTGTCTCCACCTTCGTACCTTCGAATCCTTGGCTATTTATTAGAGATATTCACGAAAGATCCCATCGGAGTTGCCTGTTGCTCACCTAAAAAGCCAGCCATCTCTTTCAAATACTGTCGAAGAAGAAAAAACCCCCCAACCTTTACAGCCACTCCATTCTACTTTTTTCAATGAGTACTTGTTATGTTTTATCTCTTTTCTCTTTTTTCTTTTTCGAGGGACTCATCACCTTCCAAGCTCCACCATCTCAGTTCTGGG